GCAAAGTATGAGTTATATCAAACTTGCATCAAACATAATTTCTTCAACGGGACTTGGCAGATGTACAACTTAGGCGATTATATGGTTTATACAGTTTCACAGTAGTACAGATCTCCCGAGCTCTGCACCCACTGCCTAGTATCTATGTATCCTAGTATGTCACCACCAGCTTCTCTGGCTAAACTCGTTGAGCTATTGAGAAAGTCATTAAGATTAAATATCCCCTGCCTCCCCAATTAATGTGGAGCCCAAACCAATAGATTTTCTGTTTCAATCATTCAAAACGCCACCCATAAATTCTGGAGAGATTTGAGGTGAACAGAGTTATTTCTGGGTGGCAGGTGCTTAGAATCCTTCCCTTCTCTACCCCCCTCTCCCCCCCCCCACTGAGGTTTTTACTGTAATAACTTGATGTCCCCCGGTTTCCAATTAAATCCTGGTTAAGCAATGGTCAGTGGAAACTGTGCCATGTTTAATTGTTGTCCTTGATTTTAGCTACATGTCCCCTTTTTAACACATGAAAGCCCATCTCTCAGGTGCAGGGATATCCCATTAATTAATTTGACTTATGGATTAACTGGAGAAGAACGAAAGTTCAAAGCTCTCAGATAGTGAATGTGATGGAGTGGTGATTGATAAATTCTGTCTGACACCAGTTGTGTTTGGCAGTTACACATGACTAAGCAGCAAATATATAAGATGGCAGCTCAAAGACTTTCTCAAGGTTGGACTGCATGTCGCACCCGATTGGAACCCAGTGTGTTAGGACGTAAATAAATAATATATAATAATAATAATCCTTGCATTTGATATCACGCCTTCATCTTCAAGACATCTCAAAGCACTTCACAGAATATACTGTAAAGTGAATTGACTGTATATTTTGTGGGAGAAACACGGCAGCCAATTGCTCACAGTGGTGTCCCACAAACAATCATGATTGAAGGGACCAATTTATTATTTTTTTTTAAAAAGGAATTATTACCCCCGGAAAAGTGTTCCGCCAATTGACTAACAACCAGGTTCCTACTTACTGCTAAGTAAACAGTGGTCTGTGGAGTAAATGTTGGTTGCCCTGCCCGGGAATTGAACCCAGGTCTCTTGCTTGCGAGGCAAGTGCTCTAATCACTGAGCTACAAGACTCCACTTCAACGGATATACTGTAAAGTGGAGTGACTGTGTATTTTGTGGGCAAAATGCAGAAGCCAATTGTGCACAGCAGTAGCTCACAAACAGCCATGGTTTTGCCTGAGGTTAGAGTGCAACCAACTAAGCGAGGGAGACCCTCACATTGGATTTGGGAACAAAAAGGGCATTTGAGTTCTCACCAACCTGAATGGTGATAAACAACAACAAGATTACATTTGTATGGCACCTTTCACGTCGGGAGGACGTCCCAAGGTACAGTACCACAACAAGAACTTGCATTTATATAGCATCCTTCATGCAGTGGTAGTGGTCTCAAAGCGCTATGTTGAAAGAATGTAGTTGAATCCCAGCAGGCTGCAGGGCTGGAAATGAGGTTCCTGCGTTCATATAAAGTGCCCAATCCCTATCTTGAGCACAGAGTAAGTATAGTTCCCGGCCAGCTTTGACAACAATTATTGCTTAGGCTCAGGCAGTTTATGATGACAGCTAGCGTCACATGTTAACTGGGCACGATGGGACCTCTGTCAAAAAGTGTGTGGAATTTTTAAGACAGCAGAGCCAGATCTGGGATTAGAGTTTGATTTACAAGCCAATCAGACTGCATTATTTTAATGAACTATGTACTAAGCTGCTTAAAGTTGATTTGATTGAGTTGAGCTGGTTGCTGGATTTTGCGAATATCAGGCGTTTAATGCAGTTTCATTTGAAGCTGTTCTTTTCTTTAGAACGTTTGAGCATCTTTCCTGCTTCTGGAGTGATGTTCCCTGGAATCATTGCTACTCTCTTTTGACTAGAGCCAGATTTCACAAGTCACGCAATAAGGTGGCTGATTTTCCCCTGGGATTATCCTGATGGTTCTCCCCTGCAATGGCCCTGTTTAAGGTTTCGCTTTGCAACTTAACTGGTGTCTGCTGTCTCTCCCCTTTTCTCTTCTCACCTATCACAATCAGTCTTGAAAGATGTCTCAGACATCTCGACGACGTGACAAGACACTATATCAAATGCAAAGATTATTATTATCTATCTCTCTCCAGCCTCCCCCAACTCAATTCTACTTTCATCTCTATCCTGACCCACGCCTCTTCTCCTTCGTCACCGTAACACTAACCCTGAACACTGCCTATTCCCTCTACCCTCTCCTGAGTGCCTGATCTCTTGCTTTCTTGAGTGTGGAGTCTCTTCCTTCACTTGAAGCAACACATTCAGCAGCTTTGCACAGAAGCACTTTTCACTCATTTAGATTTATATTCCTGGAAGAGACCTGTAATCTGGAATTTTTTGGGGCGATGTTGCTTTCACTAAAACCAATCCAAATACTGTAAGGTTTTGAATGTCAAATAATGATACCTCTCACTGTGGAATAATGCACTCAAGAAAACTGGCTGGACTGTTGGATGGTTTCGGACAAGCTGAATGTGCAGGCTGTGTGAAACTGCCTGTTGCTTCTTTGCAGAGAACCTGCTCATGTTTGTATAATAATAATAATAATCCTTGCATTTAATATAGTGCCTTATCATGCTATTGAGATGTTTCAAAGTGCTTCATAGAATATACTGTGAAGTGTAGTGACTCTGTATTTTGTGGGCAAAACACGGCAGCCAACTGCGCACATTTTTTGGGGGGAGGGATTATTTCCCCCGGAAAGCGATCCGCCAATCAACTAATATCTTCCTTGGATGAAACTCAGTCAATGTGTGAATACCAAGGCGAGAAAGCTAGAATGAAGTTGCCATCTGAATGACGGCGGTTGAGAATTGACAAGAAGGAGGAAGTTGAGGGAATCTATAGTAAACGGTGACATTAACATAGATGAATGTGGATGGCTCATTGGGGGAATACAGGCTTTATTGTGTGAATGGAGTAGACGTATTAAGTCATGAATACGAGCTGAAACCACATGTGAATACATGGCAATAGTTATGTCTCAAGTAGATCACATTTTGTATTCCAGTGTTATTCACACATCTTATACTCTGTAAAAACACATTAATACAGAGTATTAGATTATTATTGGAGTCCTGTAGAGTAGTGGTTAGTGCACTCGCCTTGCAAGCGAGAGGACCCAGTTTTTGATTCTTGGGTGGGGCGAAACCTTAGGCAAGTTTGCTTACTTCACATGCCTCTGTTTACCTCGCAGTAAGAAGGATCTCGATTGTTAGTCGTTTGGCAGATTGGTTTCCGGGGTAAAAATGGCTCCAAAAGAAAATGTGGTCGCTCCATCTAAGACTGTTTGTAGGACACTGCTGTACGTGATTGGCTGCCTCGTTTCACCCACAAAATACACAGTCAATCCACTTTACAGTATATTCTGCTTTGAGACATCTCAACCACATGATGAAGCTCTATATCAAAATGCAAGGGTTATTATTATTATTATTAAAATAAGGCTGAACTAATTGTGCAAGTGTTGAAATACCTGATGAATTGGGGCTCACCTGTGGCTCTCCTGCAGATTAGTTACAGATCAGGTATTTGATAAGATTCCCTCTATCATGGGGCTGTGTAATTGGGTTGAGTTCACACTCATTATGCAATTTTGTAAAATAGGGATTATTGATATTTATGTTGTCAACTGGGATAGTGAAAAATGTCGTTCCATTGACCCCAGAAATCCCAGTACTGGCAAACACACCCTCGATAACAATAACTGAAACATACACACACAGACACACAGAGCGTAAATCAGTGACTATGATAACCTGAGGCGAGCACAGACAGGCAGATGCACAGACACAGATGCATACACACAAAGAGACGGGCACAGACAGTCACAGACACACATAAACGCAGATACACACTAATGCAGACTCATACACATGCAGACACACAGAATACACATGCAGACACACACACACACGTAGACATATCACACACACGAGACACTTGCACACAAAGTGCTGGCTCAGGAAGCTTGTGACAGTCAATATTTCTGAGTTGTGGCTGTGATGTGCCTCCAGGCCTGTTTTGTAATCTCCTTACAAATGAGATCAGACATCAAGTACAAAGACCTCTGTTGCAAAATTGAGGACATGAAGCTTAAGGTTATCAATTTTTCTTTCCCTGAAATTGTCAGCGCCAGATTGCAATCACTCAGCTTGGACTAAACCCCATGAGAGCTGTCATTTGCGTAGTTTAACTCGGCCCTTAAATATTTTGATACCTGGAGTGGTTGAGCTCCAGGTACAGATATTTAGCAGAAGTTTAGGTTCAATAAACTCTGTTTTTGAGTCATCTGGGAAATCTCCTACAATGCAAACCAATCTTGTTGCCTTTTCAGTGTAAACTCTTTCAAAAGGGGGAACATTGAGCCAGAGAGCAGATCGGAGCAAGTTTGATGCACTGGATCCTGTGACATCCACATTGTGCACACAGCAATGCCCTGCAAACACCCACAAAGTGAAGGATCAGTTTTATTTAGGGAATTTTATGTGGAAGAAACTGGGAGAAACTCCCTTCTGTTTCCGAAAGGTGCACAGGCTCTTTAACATCCACTTGAACAGACAGTTGGGACCTTGGTTTAATAGCATCACCAAAAGGCAGCAGTCATCCAGCGCTGAACTAGATTGTCAGGTTAGACTCTGAAGTTCTGTTGTGCAACTTGAACCCATAACCTTGTGACTTAGAGGCAAGAGAGCTACCAACCGAACCAGACTGACACAGCAAAGTAATATACTCTTCCAAGGTCAATAATATTTGAAGGCAACATTAATTGCTTTCAGAAGATAATGAACATGTACTATTAACAAAATCCATTGACAGATTATGTTTGCATCTGGGCACTGGATCATAACTGATGCTGAGTTTAAAGCAATTCTCAGTAATGAATCTCTCGCCTTTCTGCTTCTTTACAGTATTGGATTAATGAGTACACATCAACACTGGGAATAGGAGTCTTTCATTCTGGAATTGAGATCTATGGACGAGGTAAGTGTTCTTTTTGCTGTTGTTTCTTCCTCCCTTAGCGTCAGTGTAACAAGTGTTCCAGGAACCTACTGATTCATCTCAACATTTGGACCTTTTTTTGGATTAGGAAAGCATAACTTTTTTGATGGTGCTTTATCACATCAAATGTAATGTCAAGAACAAGAGGACACAGGTTTACAGTTGCAAAGGGCAATTTCAGGAGAGACAATGGGAAGCTTTTCTTTACGCAGAGGTTAATCAAAGGTTGGGATAAGTTTCCAGGAAATGTGGTAGAGGCCAGCACACTGGTCTCATTTAAAAAGCAGCTTGATGAAGGAAGATGGTAGGATGGGTTCTGGAAGGTTGCTATTAGGATTCTGCTAAGAAATAATCCAGAATCCTGTGCCAAATATTAAGGAGAAGTCTTATAATAATCCTTGTATTTGATATAACGCCTCATCACATCATCGAGACGTCTCAAAGCACTTCACAGAATATACTGTAAAGTGAATTGACTGTATATTTTTGTGGGCGTAACGCAGCAGCCAGTTGCGCACAGCAATAAATGGAGTTGAGGTACAGATCAGCCATGATCTTATAGAATGGTGAAACATGCTTGAGGGGCTGAATGGCTGACTCCTGTTCCTGTTTGCCTGTGAACCAGAATTCACCAAATTGTTGGAATGTTCGCCTCCTCGTGGGAAGCATGAACTGGGTCCAGGTCTTCGTGAGATGGGTTTGTTTTACCCTGTGACGTTGCAATAGTAATCCTGCTCAAGCGGACCTATGATCTGTCACTAGTCTCTACAAAGTCTTCAGCGAGGAAAACCGTTGAGTATTCCCATTCCTTGGCACGGACCTTGCTCACTTTCATCAGAGCCATTCCCAGCCTCAGTGACTGACCTCTGTTCTCCTCTGTTCTCTTTGCCAGAGTTTGCCTACGGTGGCCATCCCTATTCTTTCAGTGGAATATTTGAGATCACCCCTGGAAATGCAACTGAATTGGGAGAAACCTTTAAATTCAAGTAAGGATTGCAGGAGTAAAAATGAAAACATTCCCACCTGGCCTTGATCTGTATTTACTCCAATTAACATAACATTTCAGACCATCCGGAATTTGTCACGTTTTTTAAACTCTCTTTAATTTTGAAGCCGTGTTTCTCTGTATGTCTTGTTTAAGAACTGCAAAAAATGGGCTTCAAAGTGAATTTAACAATTTGCCAAATTCTGCACACTCTGAATAATAATAATCCTTGCATTTTATATAAGGTCTTATTGTGTACTTTGTGGGTGAAACGCTGGAGGCAGTTTCACACAGCAGTGTCCCACAAACTGTTGTGAATAAACAACCCCGCAAAGAGTTATTTCAGTAGAATCGTGATTTCAGTAACTAATCCACAATTGGTGCCTAATCCACAAAATGTTACGTTAATAGAGTAAATCTTAACCCAGGGGTATTTCCTAATCCCTGATGCCCCAGTAGTGTATGTCCACTATAATTGTGAAATTACCAAATCAGAATTACCAGAAGCTACTTGAAGTGAAAGATGTTCTATTACCAGAGCAGGAATCCTCGTTTTGGATTTGTTAATTATGAAATGTTGCAAAATTGACCCAATTTTCTTTTTTCAGGGAATCGATCGCCCTCGGCACAACGGACTTCACGGAAGACGATGTGGACAAGATCATCGAAGAGCTGGGGAAGGAGTTCAAGGGCAATGCCTACCACCTCATGCATAAGAACTGTAACCACTTCTCTTCAGCCCTGGCAGAGGTAAGGTGGTGTGGGCCAGCGAATGTCTTCTAACTCACAATGTACAACAACAACAAATTTACATTTACACAGCCCCTTTCACGATGGGAGGACATCAATGTAACTAAATGTAAATTGGGAGACCTAATGTAACCCCAACACTGTTGACGACAGCACAGCTATCCTGGCCCATCGGCAGCACTCGGAAGGGTAGACCAGTCACTGAGGGCAGGGACTCTTCCCACTCAGCTCCCATCATCCCTGCAAGCCTGCGCCCTAATGGGTAGGATGGTCCTAGCTGCCACATTCACCTACATGATATACACAGTCACTGCACTTTACAGTATATCCTATGGAGCATTTTGAGACTTCTCAATGACATCAAATACAAAGCTTGTTATTATTATTTTATGGACCCGGAGAAAGTATTCTTCAGATGCAATAACCCTTCAGTTGGTGTGGGTACACATCAAAGGATTAGGTTTTGGTCTGTTGAGTCCCAGATAATTGAGCCAGAGGGAATTTATTTTAAAGACGTCCATTTAATCACAGCCTGAAATTTTAATTAGATACTTTATCCTACAACTGAAGTGAATTCTTTAGTTAGGAACTTCAGATTTATTTCTGAGCTGCTTTGATGTAGTGCTTATCCCTGAGATTTCCAGTTACAAGAAGCGGATGTGTAATTATTGTGTACTGCACTGTACGTTCTCTCAGTGACTGGAACATGCATAGAACATGTCACATTGGTAGGACGTGGCATCAATCCTAACGTCGACAGTGGAAAAGCTTGATTGGAACAAAAAGGATGTTGTTCCTGGCTTGCTCTCGCAAAATATAATTTCATCCCAGTTTTATGTAGGCCAATGATCCCTCAAACATATTGCTCAGTTCTCTTCGTGGCTGTTTATGGGACACTGCCATGTGTCAACTGACTGGTGAAGTCACCTACAAAACACACAATCGTTGCATTTTGTGATAAAAATATTATAATAATTTGGTCACTCATTCCACTGCTGTGTCCAATTGATTGCAACATTTCGCCCACAAAATCAATTCACTTTACTGTATATTCTGTGAAGCGCTTTGAGATGTCCCGAAGACGTGATACGGCACTATATCAAATGCAAGGATTACTATTATTATTATTGTTATGTCATGGTATCTTATCTCTGGGTGAGAATTACACGTTCCTTCCAGCTGTACTCTGAAAGGAATGTCCTTCTCTTCTCAAATTACTATTAGGGTACGTTCCCAGTCAGAGCGGTCTCACAAAATACACCCAACACTTGGCTTTTAATAAAATATTTATTATTTATTCAAACCCGTATAATTCAATATATATATTCCCGCATTTGGAGCATTCAACGCAAAAATAACAAACACAATTCTCATATAATATTTTGATATTACTGTATCAATATAACTGACAAGGAATAATATTTTATATTTTATAAGCTATCTACCCACTGAGCCTTGACACTTGGACCACTAGGGATAAACAAATAAGAGTAACCTTATCCCAAATTCACATCTCTTAAGTTCCTGAAGTTTAGAGTTTTTATAATTAGTGATATTAAAGTCAAATGTTAGTTGAAACTCCCAAACTCAACAACTCCAGTATAACTTCACTCCCTCTCTTTTATACCTCAAATGTGCCCTTGTGACTTTTGTACCCAATCAGTTCTTATTTTTTTGACCAATTCAAGTCCTATTTGACCAAGAATGACCTCCTTCAATAAATCCTTCTGACTTTGACAGTTTGAAAACATAAAACTTGTTAACTCAACTATGGTTCAGACTAAAAGACTCCGACAGGGACATAAAACCCATTAACTCAGAAAATCTAACAAAAGAGCCATAAACCGAAAGCATTTAACCAACATTTTTATACCTTAAGAGAGATAAACAGATTGATATCTCAAACTAACAAAGTCAACAGACTATCTGACTCTGAACACCTGTGACCCCTCTCTAAGAACCTAAATATTCAGCCTATTTCGATTAACCCTTAACTACCTCACAATTATAAACCCTGTGAAGCGCTTTGGAATGTCCTCCTGACGTGAAAGGCGCAATACCAAATGTAAGCATTATTATGCTAAGATATTATATTGGCAAATGAAACTGTTTGCTGGGTATTATGAAGGACACCAGGAGAGAAAGTCCCTCTTCCCTGGAAAGGTTACCAGGAACGTAGTAGAGCCAGGACACTGGGACTCATTTAAAAAGCAGCTTGATGCTGTGATGGAAAGACGGTAGGGAGGGTGTTCTGGAGGGATAAGATCAGATGGGCCGATGGGCCTGCTTCATCTAAACTGACCTTGTGATATTATTTTTATGGAGGCATCCAACATGTTGTTTATTGTTGTTGCTGCTCTGATTAGGGGTAGCCTGCTTCTGGGACACATACCTGGTGGGTGGGAGTTACAAGTTCGATATTGGCAAAAAAGATGGGAATTGCTGATTAAGACTTCTGCTTTGCGGGGAGCAATCCCCATGTCTCCCAGGACGTTGCGTTTTGATCCCTAGTGTCTTTAGATTGGGCAGATGTGCTCTTTCCTGCACACGGGACTCACCACTCGACAGCGACACCTGTGGAGATATACGTTGGTTGGTGTGGATCGTGACAGACAGCTTTCATGTCCAGTGTTCATTTCAGGGAAGGTAGAAACGGGCAACAATGTGGGAGTGAAATAGATTTGCTTGGACGACTGTGGGGTAGTTTCCTCCTGTCACCCTCAACTACTGTAATGATGACTTGTGCTGTCGAGTGTGAGTGGAGATTGCTTACAATGTTTTCTCTGGACAAACAGATGCATCGCTACTTTATACAGCAGCAACACCAAAACCAATCTGTACTTAGAACCTTAGGAAACACAGAACTTTATCAGCAGATAAGAAGGCCATTCGGCCCATCGTTCGTGCTGGTTCCTTTCAATCCCATTTAGTTTCCCCTTCCGCATACCCTTTTAAGGAACAGGGAGCAGGAGCTGAATGAGCCACGAGCTCCAGCAATCAGACGTGTGAGTGCTACCCCTCTCCTCCGACTGTCACTCTGCTGCACCGCTGATCAACACGCTTTGAAAAATAACCTCCCACTTCACTGTGCTTCTCTCTTTCCCCCCTCCACTGCATCCCCGCAGCCCCCGGTTCTCTCCTGTAATTGTTTCAGAGCAAAACCAGAGTCTGCTTTATTCACTCAGGGCTTTCTTGTTCTTTGCTTTGACATTTGGAAGCCCAGTGAGCAGCCGACAAGGGTTGCTTGGAATACTGATAGGAGCCATCCCTGCTAGCTCCCTCCACGTTCATTATGTTTCCTTGCTTGATTGATGGGATTTCCTGTGCTTCCTGTTCACACATACGCAGAGCAGACAGAGGCATCTGCACCGTTCACTCTCAGATGAATCTCAGCTCATTGACGCTCTTTCCTTAACGAACAAAATATTCATTTCATTATCCAGGCTGCCTAGGACTGGCGAGTGGAGAGAGTAGGTGGGTTCTAGGGGATTGTTATTTGTGGGAAGGAGGTTAGCAACAGATATTTGTGCTTATCAGCTTTTTGTCAGCTGCCATGTGTGGAAACCACCTCATCATGTTTAAGAGTATCCAAACCAGACAGAGTTCCACATATTTATGTCACCTATACACAGAGATTTATTCCCGGCTGCTTTTTTTCCACTTTGTAGTCAATGGTGGTGACAGCATCAATCACCAGGGTCTTATATGCCACTGATCTTGAATAATCAGTTGGTAGCACTCTGGCCTCTGAGTCAGAAGGTTATGGGTTCAAACCTCACTACAATAGTTTATGCTAACACTGTGGTGAACTGTGCTGTCCTGCCAATGAGATTTTAAACCGAGGACCTGTCTGGCTGTTCAGGTGGACGTTAAAGATCACATGGCACTAATCAAAAAAGACGGGACATTACTGTGCACAAATTGGCTGCTGCATTTGCCTAAAAAATACACAGCCCTCCCTGCAACTCTTGAGTAGAAATTCGCTGACTGCGGTTTTGTTGTTTTTGCAGATCCTGTGCGGCAAGGAGATTCCTCGCTGGGTGAACCGCCTGGCTTACTTCAGCTCCTGTATCCCGTTCCTCCAAAGCTGCCTGCCCAAGGAATGGCTGACGCCCGCAGCCCTCCAGAACCACATCAGCCAAGGTTTACATAAAGACGATCAGAGTGACACAGGAGATGAGGAGTCTCCGTCCACTTCCGCCACGGCTTCAGGAACCACCAGGACCTGCAGACACACCAGAGTCTAACCGTGCCTCCAACCTGCAGCGGCTCTGGGTTGTTAACCCACCACAGGGAGGAACTGTACAGAGTCTGCCTAACAAAGGCCTGCAGTGGCCATCTTAACACCTGCTCGCAAAGAGGCGTGAAGCTGCTCGCAATCTCTGGCAACCAGAACGACCATCCAGAACTCAACACTTTGGCATCTGGTTTGCAAAAGGATGACGGTGGAACTGTCGACTGGGGCCAAACCCTCACACACCATATACTGTAACATGTGTGTTTGACCTTGACATCTAACCTTCCTTTTGTGTTGAGTTTGTGACCCGAAAAGCCCACTGTTAAACTCATGCAATCAGCAGATCTCAGTGCAGTTGTCAGACTACAGTGCGCTCGTCAGCCAGGAAGCCTTTATGAGTCTCTACGAAGAAGATGTTTGAAAGGGGAAGCATTTGTTTCAAAAAACGTTCTTTCCATCTGTAAAGTAACTGATGATTAACCCCCATGGCTTATACGGTTTCCTGTTGTACTTTGTAAAGAGGTTCCTCTCCACTCACCCAGGTACACCTTTCAGGGCAAAGGACAGTCAGGCCAGTGCGCTGTTTATTTCGTTTTATAGTTTTGACAAGAAAACACCTCTTAAATAAAAATCTCTCTCATTTCATGAACTGACACACGCGCAGTTGGCAAATGTGGAATGATGTTTGTACTGACCTCTCACCACTGGGGAATCGATCAATGAAATAGTGCCACCGAATGCTCAGGCATTTATTCCTTAGAACAGCAGAAATGTAATGTTATCCGTTTGCTGTCTGGCGCAGAGGGAAAAAAAGGCTATTAAGGGAAACGGAGAAAAAAGACGTATCAAATGAGATTAAAAAGTTGGCAATTTACTCAAAGGCTGGCCGGGCTTTATGTTCTATCGACCTACACTTGTGTCACTCAACACAGCTATCATTTGTAACATGACCAGAGTCAGGGGGCTGTCCAACTGGTGGCTCGTGAGTCGATTTCATCGTGCCCCACCCTCTATTTCACCTGGCCCACTCGCTCCCTCCATAACCTGTAAATGTTACGTTATGTTTCTGGAAGGGAAACAGAAATATATTGCTTACATGACCCATGGATGTTTCTCAAATCCAGCCCTCAGCAACCAAAAGGTTGGGTAGAAATTCCCCGAGGTCTCTGTTAGCAAAGTATTTCAGAGCATCCAAAATATGGCAAATTGTTGAAATCAGATTTGACTTTGAAGTCATAGAGTTGCATAGAGTGGCCAAACTACTCCGTGCTGGTGTTTATACTCCACACAAGCCCTCATCCCTCCTATTCCCCCTCACCTTTACCCTTCTATTCTCATTATTCCTCAGTTTTCTGTAGTTCTTCAAAGTATTGTACAGAGAAATGGCCTCAAAATTAAGATTGTGTTTAAGAATTTGCTGAACTCTGGGTCCTCTGAAATGCTACATAAACCGTGTTAAATCTACATCCAGGGATAAAATTCTGCCCAGTTGAGTAGTCTACATGTGTGCCATTTGTAACAGCCTAACATGTAAGAGAGTTGATGTGATATTAGTAAACCCTATTTATATTACATTCCTTTAAAACAGATACAAAAGAGAATGGGACAATACCTTTCACATGCAAATGCAACGAAAATACTGGGAGACCTGCTATGTTGAGCTTTTGCCTGAATCTATGCAGTTTCTCTGCCTCCGTTGTGCGAAATTACAGCAATTTAGAGCCAAGCCTACAGTTACCAACTCGACTCTTCGACTAAATTTCTTTACTCATGTTTTTCTTTAATACGAGAACATTTTGATATACATTTATCGGAAAATACAATCAGTGTTCAGCAATTACAAACAAAACCTGCAAGTTGTTAGTATTAAACCATACAGTAATGTGACCTAAAATGTCCTTTACAAAGTGGAGTCCTGTAGTATATTGGTTAGAGCACTCTCCTCGCAAGCGAGAGGACCTGGCCAAAAAGTTAGGCAAATTTCCCTGCTAAAGGTGCCTCTGTTTACCTAGCAGTTAGTTGGAACCCAGTTGTTCGTGGATCGGTGGATCACTAATCCCTTAAAACAATGGGTCAATGAATCTACGACCGTTTGTGAGCCACTGCTGTGCGCAATTAGCTGCTGAGTTTCGGCCACAAAATACACAGTCAATCCACTTTCCAGTATTACATCGAACACAGCAGTTATTATTTTGCATTCAGTGTAAAGGGTGATTGTTTTCAGGGGAGTATTGGGTGTGAGAAAGGTGAACTCGCGCTGTGCAGTGCAGTAATGTATCCCCCATCAGATAGATGACTTTTATATAGAGGTCGTACTGTTCAGGTTCTAAATTTTTATGACTGTATTAATAATAAAAATGGTTTTAGGTTACTAGAGCACTAACTGGACCTTTATCAGTGATTCCGATGCTAAATTCTTTTAGCAATAAACTATAAAGTTCTACCTGTATAATTTTGCCCTGTGTGTTTTGGTGTGCATTATTTGTGTGAGTGTGAGTGTGTGTCTGTTTGTGTGTTTGCAGTGCACGTGTTTTTATTTAAGATGATTTGATTGGTGCTCAGTATGTTTCTTATTCTGTGCTGTTCCCTTTCTAGATGAATTCAGTCGGTAGCATTCTCATCTCGGAGTCAGAAAGTTGTGGGTTAGAAAGTTTTACGCTGCCAATTTAGTCCAGTGCTGTGTGTGTGTGGGGAGGGGGGGGGAGATGCTACAGTGTTGGAGATGCTGTCTTTCAGAGGAGATGTTAAACCAAGGTCCCGTCTGCTTGTTCAGGATTAAAAATCCTGTGACCCTATTGAAAAAGAGAAGGGAGTTTCTGCCGGTAATCTGGTCAACAATCCCCCAAGTAAAATTGGTCACTCACTCCATGTGGGACACTGCAGTACGCAAGTTGACTGCCACAAAACTCAGTTAAATTACAGAAAATCCTTGAAGGGTTTGAGACACCTTGCTGATGTGAAAGGTGCTAAAGGAACTAAATCAAAAATAAATAACAATAATAATAATTCCTGGGTAGGCCTCACTCTTTAAGACTCCATACTTTGTTATTGCAAAGTCTGTTATAATTGTTTTGCTCAGCTGGGTGTCTTAACACATTCGGAACCCATTGCCATACATAAGACTATCCAAACCGGACTGCAAGTTTAACATACGTATGCCATCTACAAATGGAAATTTCCCTGCGAATGGAATCGACACTCTCTCCCCGAATGGAGAACTTTCTTATTACAAAGCCGGTTACAGTGAGATTTCGCTACAGCAGAGACTTGTGCTGACTGGTTCTGCTAAGGAATTGGCATGTGAACAGTAAGAGCTGTGTTAGAGACTGTTCGAATTAAAGGGTTGCAACCTGTCTAAGCGTAACAGGAGATTTGCAGCAACAAAAGCTTTGTTGTTTACAGTGCAGTTCTGTAATATTAATATCCTCCTCACACATTCATCAAAGCAATCATCTCACCAGGAGAGAGAGTGATACTGTTTTGTGTAAAATGCTTCACTGGGTGCCTGAACAAGGGGATTAAGTTCACAGTACCAGCAAGGCACCCTACTCTTCTGAGACATTTAGCCCCTTTTAGTCATTTAACTACTTTTTCTTTAGTCAGCCAGGTGTCTGACACATGCAGAAACCCATCACCACGCTTAAGAGTATACAAACCAAACTGAGAATGCCATGCATCCCACTTAAACATGGACATTCCAGAGATATTTGCTGCAATGGAATGCGCACTCTCTCCCTGGAGGGACAGATCCTGCTTACCTAATTACGGAAAGTAATAGGCACAGGTTGGCAAGAGCCAAGGCTTGGAGACCCCAGAATGTGCGTTGGGGTACTGCTGGAGTCTAACCAGCTAAAACTGCATAGCTCGCCATTGATGGCACTGTCTGGCAAGCATTCCTGCTGCTTGTCCAGCTAGGACCACCCTATGTATCAGGGCTTTGGTTTGCAGGGTTAACGGGAGCTGAGTGGGATGATTCCCTACCCCCAGAAACTGGACTACCCTTCCATGTTCTGCCGATGAGCCAGGATGCCTATGCTGCCATCAGCAGTGCCCTGGAATACTGCGAACACTCCAGGCTCAGGAACTGGACTACAAAGACCGCCACAGAGGGCTGGGCTTGATACCAGCTATACCCCATAAATCTCTTCTCAGGTGGAGTCACTTCTTAGTCAGCTAAGTGTCTGACAAAGGCAGACAACTTCACTGTATATCCTGTGAAATGCTTTGAAACGTCCTCCCAATATGACAGATGCTGTACCAACTGCAAAGATTATTATTTTTATTTTATTATTATTATTATGCTTTATTTTTTTGGTGGAGTTTAGCTTAGGCTTTTTTTTCTACATTGGCAAAAAAAGGGCATCAGAATGTGACGCCCACAGTAGAAAGGAGGAGTGAGGTGCAGCTGCTGGCTGTGGGCCTCGCCTCCTCGGAAGAAAGCACTGACCTGGTCTCAGAACAGTCTGTTCTTGGGCTGAGATAGCGTCACTATTCAGAGAAAAGACTGCGCTCTAATGGAGCAGAGCGAAGACTGTTCAAGTGGCCCCCAGAAAGTGCTCATTTAATGTAAGAATCGCAAGTATGACCGTCTCGAGTGAGTGAAACGTTGCACGAATGTGAACTTGATTTGAAAGCGCAACGTTAGAAAATTGTCTGAGCAGTGAGTGGCCCTGGAATCATGTTGACGTCCCAAACCGAACTACCCACTATCCAATTTGCTCAGACTCGTGTGCTTAATGGCAATGGACAGGATGGTATGACTGAGCCTGGTGGGCTGCCGGCAGGACATGGGTGGGGAGGAGGTCGGAGGTTGGAATGGCTGTGGGAGAACTTGGTTCTTTTTTGCAGTTGTCGATCCCGGCCAAGTCTATACCTAGGGCTGCCAGCCAGGTGTCTGTGACACTGGATCCTTAGATGAAGGAAGCGCTCTGGCAGTGCTGGGCTTGTGAGCAGTCACTCAATGGCTGTTCCTCCCCCTCGGAGGATGCAAGTTGTCGATGAGGATCGGCGGGGGACTGGGGAGGGGGGGGCGGTGAGGAG